GGTCTTCACGGTGAGTCTACTTACCTTGAGGTCGCGGTGGACCACGCCCATCTGGTGGCAGTGGAGCACAGCTTCTAGGATCTGCTGAATGCAATGACTGCATGCAAACACCAGGGGGCCATGGGTTAGTGACAAGCTACCACTCACTGTCTGTGGCTGGGAGCTCGCTTTGACACTCGGGGAGCCGCTGGCCATGTTAGTGAGGAGACTGTGCAGCAATGTGGCAATTGACTCTCCACGCAAACATAATGAGGGCGATTTGGCAAAATGGACCATTTCCTTAGTGTTTAAATTTTTTGTGTGTGTGTGTGTGTGTGTGTGTGTGTGTGTGTGTGTGTGTGTTGCCATGGTCACCAATAGATGTTGACCTGGACAGGCCCAGAAAAGAAAAACTAGCTGAACTTTTGTCATCATCTAATATTATGACAACATGTCCAATTCTCTTCCCGAGTCTCAAAACAAAAGTGGTGTTAGCCCCTGGCCAACTGGAGGCTGGACCCTGACAGACTGAGGAGAGGAGGGAGATGTAGGAGTGTAAAGAAGCTGTGCTTTGACTCTGTTACTGATTCAGTGACAAAGAGTCACAGTTTTTGGTCCTTCTTTATTCTGTCAAAACAACAATCTGGAAATAACTGAATCTGAAATTTTGTAATTATTTTGATGCTGATGTTATGTCAGCTCCAGAGAGTTTAATAACTGTGCTGCACAGTAAAACAAGAAGACAATTTGGAGTACACTGCGGCTCAGTGATTCATCATTTTTGTATTAAAACCTTGTTTGAAACTGCACCTATTTTATCCCTTTTATGACAACAATCTCTAAACAAGTCACATACAAAAGTATAGTCATAACTGACAGCCAGGGACAATATCATGGGCAGCAAAGGTTTAATGTTTTGTGTTAAGCCATAGATTTGCTACGAGATAAAACCATTTTAGTACATTGCATAGAAAAGTTGCAACAGTGTTAAGTGGCCAGTCTGGGCTCGACTCAAGCCGGCTGATGGTGTCACCTCCAGCTCTGCTGGTCACATTGCTGGAGGTTGGTTCTAGAACGTAAAGCATGTCACCTGTATTAAAAGCCAATTGCTATGTAGTGAAGTCTGCTGGTCATGTCAAAATAACCGTAGATGACGTGTTGGCCTGCTTCGACAGGTACTTTGTCCCCGCCAAGCCCTCTGTTTCCATCCTCACGGTGTGCCGGTGTTTGATGGTGGGTCGCTGCTGCTGCTCTCTGTCAGTGCTTATGCCCCCACCACACACACATTGTCATTGACTGATGAATTGGCGCTGGTAATTTATAACTTATATGATATGATATGTCG